GTTGTTCCGCCGTTTTTAAATATATAGTGTATTTAGAAAAGCAAGAACGACTTGTAATTTGAAACAAAGAAAGTATTATCTTATGTTATTTATGATTATTAGATAGTACACATGATCAGAAGTCTACAGTATCAAGCAAGTTTGTACTCCATCCGTTCACAGAGGGATACATTTTTCATTTTTCGAGTAAAAGATTAAACTTTGCCTAAAGTTATGTATAAAAAGTACTAATATTCATGATACAAAATAAGTAATATTAGATTAATTATGAAATATATAGAAAATTTTATTAGAGACATAAATGTTAGTACTATTAATTATAAATTTGATCAAACTTAAATTATTTTGACCGACATAAATCTTATAGTAGCATTTTTTTTACGGACGGAGGAAGTATTATAAAATTATCAAATTTAAATCTTAGTATATGTGTGTGCAGCTTATGAACACGGATCGGTGGGAGTAAGCATTACCATGCTCCTTGCTACAGAATCTGGTACGTACGTCGTCCAATCGGGCGGCGCTAAAGCAATGCGACGCCGTGGCGGGCAGGGGCACGCATCTGCCTCTGCTACTGCGCACCAGCGTTGGCACGCCGCCGCAGCTACGACAGGTGGTCCCGGCCGTTGGCTAATCTAATGGCTTCGGCTTCCCTTCCTCGTGACGATACGGCACGGCGGTAGCAGGCCGGCGCCGGCGCCGGCGCCGGCGGGCCATCGATTGTCCTCCGACATCGACATCGTATCGACGTCGTTGGGGGGACCTCCGATCCGGCCTCGATCGCAATCGCAACGCTGGTGCACACTAGCAGAGGCTAGTGCGTTGATTGTATGCATATGCCCGCGGTCGGAGGAGGAGGCGACGGCGACGTCCATTCTTCTCCGGCTCCGGTGGCGCGCGCAGCCGACGACGACGCTTCTGATGTGATGGTGGCGCCGTCCAAAACGTCAACCAGCAGCGGCTCATCAATTGCACAGTGCGTAGAGTATTGGTAATCCTCACCCTCGGTGAATGATGTATGTAGTACCTTCCTTCGTACAAAAAAAAAACAGTTAGTTTAAAATTTAACCAAATTTATATGAAAAGTATTAAATTTATAGTACTAAATAAATATTATTAATATAGTATATTTATTTAGTGCCATAAACTTTAATTGTACGATCTATAAATTTAGTTAAAATTTTAGAAATTTGGGCCAGAACAAAACTAGAATTATGTCTTTTAGTGACGGAGGTGGTAACACTGTAGTGCTCATACCATTTTCCTCGGCTTGACAAGTGACAGAGCTAGCGGGAAATGGCATATATGTCCATCATCTAGATGTGCCAATGTCAATGCATTTTTGCATAGCAAATATTAATTAAAGTCAGCAGCACATTGGAGACCGGAAGACGACTGCTCTCCTATCCTACCACTACCTGATGGCCGATGCCAAAAGCCAAAGCGTCTGGCTAAAGTCTGAACGGCATGTCATCATGTCATGCATAATCAACAAACGGATTCATTCAAGTACTAATAAATTCAGACTGTTCCCATTGACGACGACGGTTCGTGTACAGTGGAGTACTATCCAAGAGAATAAAACTCGGCTATGGAATTCCCCGGACGCCATCTTTGTGTGTCCTTTCTTCTGGTATCTCCCTCGATCGATTGGCAGCTCCAGTGCCACGGCCCGATGAGATATATGGTGAATTGATGATTCATCCATCAGTCTCTTTGTACCGATGTACTACTAGTAACAAGCTGCTCTTCTATTTGGGACTGTTATATATTCAACCAGTAAGTACTCCCTATACCATTTAAAAAATAAATAAAAAGAAACTCCCTATGTAAAAGAAGATCATCCTAGATTTAGGGCCTGCTAAGCAACAAACTCAGGCCAGCAGACACCTCAAAATCGAGGGTCTCGAGGGCTTGGATTGCTGCTGACAATAAACCAAACAGTCCTTTGGACTAAGTCAAAAAAGAAATAGTATCAACCAAGTATCATCAAATACGTTTTTTTATAAACTTGTATTTAATTTAATTGTTCATCTAATAATGATACTAATTATGTATCATAAATATTAGTAATTTGTAATATATTTGGTTAAAATTAAATATTCGTGGCTCCTGGAAAAATAAAAATGTCATTCTTTGTGGTACGGAGCCAGCAGTACGTGGTACTGGCCACTAGCTGCCCCCGTGACATGAAGCATGCAAGTGGGTATATAGCAAGTACATGCACATGCATCTCACCTTCACCTCACGTACGTACGTGCGTACGTATGTATGTATGTATGTATGTATGCGCAGAATGTCAATAGAGAGGTGCGCCGAAATAATGGTAAAAGCATACAAGTGCCGGTACCGGTAGCAGGTTAATTAGTTGTTGATTACACTTGGCTGCGACTTAATTTCCTTGAGAGCTTGCAGTTCTTGGGCCTATTTGCTTGAACTTATATACCGGCTTATCAGCTAGAATCTATAATATTTTTCTCTCACAACAAAACAGTTTCAGCCGATTTATCAGCCGGCTTTAATACCAGCCGACTTGCACAACCATGGCTAGCGGCACCCTGCTGTGACCATTGAACGGAGGAAGAGAATAAATAGATACAGAGATAGATGGAGATGGATAGCAACGCCATCAGGAAAAGGAAGGAAGAATCTGTCATCTGTGCCAGCACCCAGCAGTAGCGATGAAAACGGATCGGATACGGACGGATATCACCGATATTACATTTGTTTTCATATTTCTTTCCGGATTCGGATTCAAATACGGATAGTGTCAACCATGCCGGATAGGATACGATTGGGTATCGACATCATAAATATGCGATTTGAGTATTCGAATACGGATGCGGTATCGGATATTGAATATCCAGACTCGGATATAGACAGATCAGAACTCCTCTAAACGGATTCGGTCTCGAATACGGTCGGAAAATATCCATACCGTTTTCACCCATACCCAGCAGCCAAGCAAGGAAGAGAAGAGGTCCAGGTCCAGCCTGACGACCAGGCCAGGCAGCCTTTGTTTGAAGGGGAACTGATGTCAAGCTCGCCGAGGAAGAGAAGATGCCTTCCAATTAATCCATCCAAATCTCCGGATTTCCCACATAAAACAAACATGCATATGAATGGCTTGCTTGTTTCAAGTTGCACCCTCCACCTCCAGCAGGATGATGTAATAATAATGTAGGGTTTCAAAATAGAACTTTGACCGATATTTTCCTATTATGTATTTGTGGTGCGCATGCAGAAAAAGTATAACACACGTCGTATATATATGGAACTACCTTTGGAGGTTAATTTACAGTATATATAGTTTCCAAACATATAAACTAATTAAACATGGAAAAAGTAGTTTGTAATCAAATTCTGTCATGCATTGTTACCTTCATAGAAGAAATAAAACATCCTAATAATTCGTAATTGGAGGGAGGAAGAAGGATATTTTACCTACCACAAAACCAAGAGGAACTTTAAGTTCACTATGTTGCCCTCTTATTAATTACTACTCCCTCCGGTTTCATAAAGATTGTGCTCCTATCTTTGTCACAACTCAGTTAGAACTTACGACACAATTTTGCTTTCATAGAACAAAAAAATACATCCTGATTCATGATTGGAGGGACGGAAAAACATATTATGCCTAGCACAAAACTAAGAACTCACCTACATTCACAATATAGTGCCCCCCTTATTAGTGTCTATATAAAAGGTTATATTTGTCACATGCATGTAGTTAAGCACGCAAAGAAAAAAGTGGAAGATATAGGGAAGAACAGACACACTGTAGATTGGAACTGGACATAACATAAGTCTTGACTAAAAATGTATACTTTTCTTCCATTTTCGGCCTTGTTTGATGCATATGTATTTACTTCAATCCACATGTGTTGGAGTGTATCGGAATGAAACTTAGTTTAATTCTGCTCTAATTTACTTCAACACATATGGATTGAAATAAATACATGCGTATCCAAACAAGGCCTTCAAATGGAGCAACTAGCTAGGTTATAATTATAATCACGCCACAATAAAGGGGGGAAATGGGTATGCGGAAATTGTGTGGTTTCGAACAGGCCCCGTTCGGCTTGCTGAATCTTAGCTGAAATTGGTTAAAAAATACTATTCTGGCTGAAATGTTGTGAAAGAAAAACACTATTATAGTTGAAAAAAGAAGCCGAACAAACCGGATATAGAGTAAGCCGAACGGGGGTTCAAATACACGAACGAGCTAAAGTTCGGGTCACGTGGCTCCGTCCACTGACTAAACACACCCATCACCACCGCGGTGTCTCATTTGAATAAACTTCTTGCCTAGTACTGGCAGTTGGTGAGTCGTCGCTTTGCTGGCATGAGGAGAGGCCAAAATGTTTCGGGGTTGTTGCTGTCAAGGGAGGGACTGTTTCCGTCCAACTGTCTTCTCCACACCTGCAGTTAGTCGGTTACTGATCACGTTCAACGAAAAAAAAAACTCCTTGAAGGCTTGAAACTGTAACTGCTACAGTATTCACCACGTTATTAGGTAGACTATTCCAAAACCATTGCATCATGGCGAGGTTTGTCTACAGTCGATTTCACCGTGAATTTTTTGTCACCGACGGATAAAAAAAAATCTGCATCTTTTTGTCAATTTTGCGACACGAAGTCTAACAAACGGTGCGAAATTTTTAAATCAGTTTTCAGCAGTTCGATTTTGGGCCGGTTTCATTCATGGAACTGAAGCTGAAACTCTGAAACGCCGGCCCGATGGTCTGTGAAGTGAAGTGAAACGCAGGCTGCGGCTGCGGCTGCCTGCCTGCCAAGCTTTGCCGCGCCTTTTTCTATCCACCTTCTTTGACCGCATTGCTCTCGTCAAACATCATTTCCATTTCCCCCCTCTTAAAAAGCCCTGCCTCTCCTCTCACATCGGCAACAGTACGAGCCGACGAGGGCAGGGCAGCAACAGCCAACAGGGCATCCGCGACCGCGACACGGACTCGCGCCGTCACACACAGAGAGCGGCCGCCATGCCACTGCACGCCGCGAGCGCCGGCGGCGTGCTGGCCTACGCTGCCCTCGCGCTCGCGGCGCTGCGGCTGCTGCTGTCCTACAAGTCGGCGCTCTACGCGCTGCGCCGCCTGTGGCGGTGCGCCGACGAGTGGGCGCAGGCGTACCAGTACCACGTGGTGCCACGCTTCGCCGCATGCGACGGCGCCGAGAACCCGCTGTTCCGCAAGTCCACCGCGTACGTGGCGTCGCTGCCGTCGCTGGAGGACGCAGACGCCGCGTGCGTGGTGTCGTCGGCGTCCCGGACCAACGGCGGGCTCACATTCCAGCTCGGCCCAGGCCACACCGCGCGGGACGCTTTCCTCGGCGCGCGGCTCGCGTGGACCAGCGCGGGCGGCGCCGGCGATGCCGGCGGCGGACCCGAGCGCCTAGTGCTGCGCGTGCGCCGCCACGACCGCTCCCGCGTGCTGCGACCTTACCTGCAGCACGTGGAGTCCGTGGCCGACGAGATGGAGCAGCGCCGGCGCGAGCTGCGGCTCTTCGCCAACGCCGGCACCGACGCGGCCACGGGCGCGCCGCGCTGGGCGTCGGCGCCCTTCACCCACCCGGCCACGCTCGACGACGTAGCCATGGACCCGGATCTCAAGGCCCGCGTCCGCGCCGACCTCGAGAGCTTCCTCAAGGGCCGCGCCTACTACCACCGCCTCGGCCGCGTCTGGCGCCGGAGCTACCTCCTATACGGCCCGCCGGGCACCGGCAAGTCCACGTTCGCGGCGGCCATGGCCAGGTTCCTGGGCTACGACGTCTACGACGTCGACCTGTCCCGCGCCGCCGCCGCCGGCGACGACCTCCGCGCGCTGCTCCTGCACGCCACCCCGCGCTCGCTCGTCCTCGTCGAGGACCTGGACCGGTACCTGCAGGGCGGCGGCGGGGGTGGCGACGGGGAGGCGCGCGCGGCCAGGGTGCTGAGCTTCATGGACGGCGTCGCGTCGTGCTGCGGCGAGGAGCGCATCATGGTGTTCACCATGCGCGGGGGCAAGGACGCCGTCGACGCCGCGGTGCTGCGCCCCGGCCGGCTGGACGTGCACATCCAGTTCACGCTCTGCGACTTCGAGGCCTTCAAGGCGCTGGCCAGCAACTACCTCGGGCTCAAGGACCACAAGCTGTACCCGCAGGTGGAGGAGGGGTTCCACGCCGCCGGCGCCCGCCTCAGCCCCGCCGAGGTCGGCGAGATCATGCTGGCCAACCGCGCGTCCCCGAGCCGCGCGCTCCGCAGCGTGATCACCAAGCTCCAGCACGTCGCGTCCGGGGGCGCCGCGCCGCCGCGGAACCCGTCGCACAGGCGGAACACGAGCTGGTCCGGCGCCGGGCACCAGTGGGAGGACCAGGCCCATTCGGCGCGCGCCAGCGCGGACTCCGCGCAGGCCGACGACGAGACGGCCGCCGGGGTCCCGCCGACGTGCGGGGTGTTCGGCAAGGAGGCGCCGATGAGGGAGTTCAAGAAGCTGTACGGGCTGATCAAGATCAGGAGCCGGAGGGAGGGCTCCGGCGTCGTGCCACTGGAAGGCGACGCGCACGGGCCGCCGACGCCGGGCAACCACGACAGGGAGCGGTGATCGTTGTGGATGGTAGAATTGTAGTGGCCAGCAAAAAGAAAGCTTTTTCATTTCCTTTTTTTTCTTGTTATTATTACAGTTTGTTATTACACTACTCTGGGTGTTAGTGACTGGATGGAAGAACTAGAATTGGAGGAAGATAACAACGATGGAGGATTGTGAGTGATGTACATGAGAGGCATTCTTGTGTGGTCTCAATCTCCAGAAAGCAACCATTTGCACTGCGTCAGAGTGAAAGACTCAAAAATAAACAAAATGGGATAGAATCGGATAAGTCGATGAAATTGGCACAAAATTTGTGCATGGAAAATTACCACTTGGTAGCGCATCTCACATTAGGGCTTGTTTAGATGCAAATAATTTTGCAAAATGAGTATTGTAGCGTTTTCGTTGTTATTTGGCAAATAGTGTCCAATCATAGTCTAATTAGGCTTAAAAGATTCGTCTCGTGAATTTCGTCTAAACTGTGTAATTAGTTTTATTTATTATTTATATTTAATGCTTTATGCGTCCAAAGATTCGATGTGACGAGGAATATAAAAAATTTTGCAAAACTTTTTGCAAACTAAACTGGACCTTAGTCACATCCTCTGCATCAAAGATCCTGAATCATGAGTAAATATCAGTGCAGCTTCAGTTGCAGCTCCAGCATCCAACTCCCAGTAATACCCGGTCCCAAATATCAGTTGGGGAATTGACTCGATCGCAACAGCCGGCAGGCAGTTACTGCCCGGTCAGAGCGGCCGCCGGGTTACTGCCCGGTCAGAGCGGCCGCCCGGCGGCCGCAACTTGCCCGCCGATCCGACGGCGACGACTCCGCGGCGTCAAGCGCCGTTCACCGTTCGGCTCGTTTTTTTTCCATACTAAACAGTGTTTTTCTCTCACAATAATTCAGCCAGAACAGTGTTTTTTAAGCCAGTTTCAGTCAAGTTTTAGTAAGCCGAACGAGGAATAACAACGCGCGAAATGGACACTCGTCACGCGCGCACCTCGCCGTTGCCGTCACCGTCGCCGCCACGCCGACCGCTCCCTGCCCGGCGGCACCGCGCGCACGCTGAACTGAGGCCTCGTTTAGTTGGCGAAATTTTTTAGGAAATAATAATGTAGCACTTTCGTTGTTATTTAGCAATTAGTGTTCAATCATATTCTAATTAGGCTTAAAAGATTCGTCTCGTAAATTTCGTCTAAACTGTATAGTTAGTTTTATTTTTTATTTATATTTAATGCTTCCTGCATGCGTCCAAAGATTTGATGTGACAGAAAATCTTGAAAAATTTTGTAAAATTTTAGGAACTAAACAGGCACCGAGCTACATGCGTATTATTGTTGTTTTGTGAGCGCATGATTGCGCAGCCATCTGCACAAGGATTCCCTTCCCTCCGTGTATTTAGCAAGTTGTTTGTTTATGATTATGATTGCGCATGTGTATGGGAGCAGAAGTTTAGCTGTGTCCAGCAGGTCTTGAAGCTCTGCTCCTGATCTGGAAAAGCTCTCTGTGCTTGCACCAGCTCAAGAAAGCGATGCAGAGCATGATCTGTACTATGTCATGTTTACACATGATGACATGAAACGAAAGCCTTAAAAATTTTGTCAGCAAGCTGCACTTATATACTACAAATAATACAGTTAAGATTGCACGATAAACAATCGGTGCACCTGGTATCACCCGGCCAAGTGACAATTGACCCTGTTCGCTTGGTCTCATGAGCCATACTATTTCAGTAAATAAATAATATTTTTCTCTTATAATAAATCAACGAATAGCAGCCATAGCTTTTTAACAAAACGAACAGGGCCATATTGAAATATGTCCCGCCTTTTACTACTAGATAAATGGCGTTTAATTTGTATGGGTCGGTGAACTATTCAAAGTCTGTGTTGGATCGTGTGGGCGTAATCGTTGAAGTGCACCCATTAACCGCTTTGTCGTCTAGTACTCAACGTTAGGTGCTCGAGGACCTGTTTGAATCGGTTAAGGTTCACTGTTAGCCGCAGTTAAAGAGCCAGGTAATAACTATGAGCTAGTGTTGTTTGGATTCATGTCTAGCAGGTGCATACCTCCATAGCAATTAATAGCTCAACTATCAACCCTTGTTACCTAGTTGTGCTTGTCTAATGGACTAAGGCACCGTTTAGTTCACCCCAAAAACCAAAAAATTTTATACAGTAAGTGTCACATCAAATCTTGCGGCACATGCATGGAGTATTAAATGTAGACGAAAAAAAAACTAATTACACAGTTGGCCGAGAAATCGTGAGACGAATCTTTTAAGCATAAATAGTCCATAATTAGACAATTTTTGCCAAATACAAATGAAAGTGCTACAGTAGTCAAAAGCAAAAAAAATTCGGAACTAAACACGCCCTAAATAACTAGCCAATGGCTTAGCTAATTTTTCACCCTACTGTTAGTCATCATGTTTAGATCACCTAAAACTATTTTTTAGCAGCTAACAATTATCCCCAATATTAACAGGCCCTGAATCCTAGTACCAAATAGCCCTGTGCTCCAAATAGTTACCAGTGTCACCCACTACCCCCAACGTTTTAAAAAGAGGCAATTCTAGCTTCTACTAAATCAATACATCTTAATTTCTGACTAAGTATATAAAAATATTTATGATACCAAATAATTACAATTAGATATATTATGAATATATTTTTGTAGTGTGTGCATTTAAAGTCATAAATGGTAATAATATTTTCTACAAAGTGAGTTAAATTAATACCTTCTATAAATTAAATTAAACTTAAAAAAAGTAGAAGCTAGAATCGTTGGTGGACTCCTGTTCTTCGGCGAAGACTGTACAGGGGATGACAGACTCACCTCGGCAGCCACTCGTCACGCCACCGCGGGAGCGACAAGCCGACATCGTGGATGTCGAGGCATGCCTAGAGAGGTCCGATGCCATCACTCTAGGCGCGGATGCAGCCACCCCTCCCTGACGGACAATCGTGGTTGCGATGGATGACGTCAACCGCACCCTTCGCCTCAGACGACCTCGGTCGATAGACGCCTCAAGCGCTTCACCGAGCGAGTTACAAAGACGGGGCAACCACCACTTCTCGAGCTGCCCGGAGATGAGGCGGCCCTTGGCGGACGTGCACCGCCCTTGCTCCCCAAGCGAAGCAGACGGATAGCGGCACAGGCTACGGCTCATATCCCGACAACAAGCGAGGTGAGTACCTTGTCATGAAGCGCCTGGGACTCTCCAGCGGGATGCCGCCTCCGTCGACGTCGGCGATAACGTACGATGAGGTATTCGATGGCGACCCCGCTCAGATGTAGGCGTTGCGTGAGTTGTCCCCTCCGGTTGGCGACGTAGACACGCACAAGCGGCGTCGCCGTCCGGTGGCTAGGGCATAGAGCTCCTTACCAGCGCCCCCAAATTTGGGTCGATCTCAGTCCAATGTAACAACCTAGCTTACAATATACTACCTCTATCCCTAAAAGAATGCAACTATGGGTTGCGTGCCACTTTGAGTGCTTCAACTAAGTTTCTAGTAAATAATATTCACATTTATGTTTCTAAATTAATTTATTATGAAAATACATTTTGTAATTAATCTAATAATATTTATTTTATATTATAAATATTTATAATTTTTAGCTATAATTGGTAAAGGTGATATACTAAAACATGATACTGTTCCATAATTGCATTCTTTTATGTACGAAGGGAGTACTAGAGAGGGTGTGAGCTTCATGTAAATCTTTACTGACCCCTAGGGCGTCGAAAGACGTGTTGTATCGAACTTTTTCTCTACCTTAATACAAAGATGCACAAACCTTTTGTGTGATGGAGAAAAAAAAACTTAAAAAGTTTGATTTAATATTAGGGTTGTTTAGATTCACTTATACTTAGAAGAAAGTTGTTTAAATTCATATACTAATATGTTGCTAATACTAGGTGGTTGGCAGGAACATCTAGCTAGTTAGTTGATCTATTAGCAAGTATATTTAGATTACTCATACAAATTCAGCTGCTAGCTATTAACAATAGCGGATCCAATCATATCCTAAATATGGAAGGACGAAGGTTATTGAAGTGTTGCCAGTAGAACGTGAGCCAAAAGCAAAAGCATGTACAGTTCCGTAGGCTGTAGTAGCCCATATAACCATCCAAGGTAGCCCTTTTGGGGAACAGAAATCACCGTGGGTGACCACTGACCAGACATGGAGCGCCTGAGGAGGGGTCACGAAATTTGAGGCCTTTTTCACCGGAGGAAGAAGCCACGCGGTGACCTTTGTGCGTTGTGCTACTGCTACTGGCTACAGTACTCTGCTACCACGATCCTCGATTCCTCTTCTGGATTTCTGAGAATTCTGATCTCTGAAATCGGCATGGAGACAATCTACTGTACTGAAACCTGAAAAGGCGAGAGCGCAAGGATTGCTTGGCATGGCAGGCACACCAATCCAATCCTCCTCGTCTTCTTTCACAGCTTTTCACAAGCCTTTTGTCCTCGGGCCACGTTTAGAGCTTGTTTAGATGCAAAAAATTTTGTAAAATGAGTACTGTAGCGTTTTCGTTGTTATTTGGCAAATAGTGTCCAATCATAGTCTAATTAGGCTTAAAAGATTCGTCTCGTGGATTTCGTCTAAACTGTGTAATTAGTTTTATTTTTTATTTATATTTAATGCTTCATGCATGCGTCCAAAGATTCGATGTGATGCGGAATGTGAAAAATTTTGCAAAATTTTTTGCAAACTAAACTGGACCTTAGGCCCAGTTTAGTTCACGAATTTTTTTGGCCAAATGCAAAAAAATTGGCGTTTTGACATTTGGGAACTAAACAGGCCCGAAAAATTTCGGGCCAAAAATTTTGAATTCGACTGCTGCGTGGCTGCGTGCCCAACCCTATCCCTCCGTCCCGCATACGTCGAACCCTATCCATTCAAACTTGCTTTCGCCCAACCCTATCCGCGCGCGCCTCTCTCGCCGTCTCCATCGCAATGCTGCCGCTCTCGTCCTCGCCATCCCAGCGCCGCCAACTTT